CAGGATAAGCGGTGAGGGAAAAGCCGAGTAAGAATGTGTGAACTGAACACGATATGAAAGGTGCTAGTCAAGATTGGATAAAACAGGTGTGAAAGTATGCGAAGGGAGTCAGAGAATGGGAAAACAGTGTCACAGAAATATTGACAGTCTTTCTTATCATTTCGCTAACAGCAGCACTTGAACAAGATCAAGTTGTTCCCACGACTCCTGGCTTCATAATTCTTATTTTTGTGGATTGCAGTTCAAACATTTTTTACTCTAAATTTCCCGATCTTGACTCCAGAGCTTGTTGTCAGCCCAATAGTTCGCACATACACCCACACATTTATTCAACATCAGCTTAAGCCTTGTACTGATCTATTCACGAATTGAGCTGTATGCGTTAATGCCTGAACCGATATATCAAAATGAAATTTCTTCGCGTTTCCATTATATTCAGCCATAAAATTCCTGTTTCAGGCTGAACCCTACTTACAATTAGTCGCTTCCATTTTTGAATTGGTTTTCCCCCTACTTTTCCCATCTAAAATTCCCACTCTTCATGGCTCTGCTGTGTATGAAGAATCCGATTAATTGCGCACAATGTTGATGTAACTCGTTGAACTGCTCGATATTGTTGCCCTGTTCCAGTTGTTTCTCTTATCTTCTTCAATAATTAATTCATCTGACTGTCTAATCTAATCTGTGTTCACAGTCACAACGCGGGGATTGTGCAAATCTGCAATATCGGGGATGGTCGTTGTGTGGAAACGGTGAGTGTTTTCTTCTCTCGATGATTGTTTTTTCTCTGACAATCCGAAAGTGATTTCGGTCTGATGGGATCCATTCCCAACGACTGAAGTTAAGTGAGTGCGGCCGGGCCTCCTCGATCCGCGGAAAGCGAATTGTTTAAAGCGAGCGGTAATTCATGTTGTAATGGCACTACTCGTATTCGGACTGTAAATATGCTTGGATCGCTTGGATTAGACGATGTTACATAATAATCCGGTTGTGTTCGGCCAACCAGATCAGTCGTATCCGATTGCCCTGGGTATCAGTATCGGCTCAATGTAGATCCGATCCTCCCGGAGTGAGAGGGCGAAATTCAACAAAACAACCAAAAACGATTTGACTGTTCGAATAGAGGGCGCGTTATCTAAGATGTTGACGTGTTTAAGGCAAAATGTAGTCATCGATATGACCACGTTCGAGTCTATTCGTCCGACAGAGACAACAATTCCGAGACTGTCCGGGTTACCGAAAGTAGACCTGGTTCGGATTCTGGACATATGCAAGTTATCATACCATTCACTTGCAAACTGGACGTTAGTTCGTTCTTCACCACCGTTCCGATCAACGAATAGCTGTGTAGTTATTTACAAATGAACACTGTTGACATGAGCCTCCCGTTGGAGGATCTAAACCAACTACTTTATTTTTGTGCATACAAAATCCAGTTCAAGTTCAACGGTCACATAAATCGACAAAAGGATGGTGTGGCTATGGGATCACCCCTAGGACCGTTGTTTGCTGACATGTTCATGGTGAAACCTGAAAACAACGAACTCATATATATATATATATATAATAGTGTATTGGTATGATTACGAATCAATGAAAACGAGCTTGTTCACCACTCTCAGATCAGTTTGAAATATACAATGCAAGATAGGCAAGGTGAACTTGGGAAGCTTTCTTCCCCATGTGGCATACCTTCTCTCAGCTCTTTTGTTTCTATGGGTCTCCAAGCGGATCAGTTTCTCTATCTCGATCCGTGCACCTGTTATGCAAAGATTTTTCGTTTGGCTCGCCTGATTGTGGTCTACGCTTTCAATTCCTTAAATTGATTGATTGATCGGTTTTGATGGGTTCTCATTAACACGCGCGCACGCACATTCGTGATTCGTTTTACAGCAAACGCGCCATTGGAACGAAAGTTGCAAAGATATCAATGCAGTGACAACGGTCGATCCGTCCGGGAACGTGTTTCTAGCCGGTGGGGATGACACCAACATTCGGGTGAGTGAATCCACTATTTGTCAACATGGCCCTGATCCTGTGCTTCTGTTTGTTAACCCTGGTGACAATACTTTCTCAAACTCTTTGGAAAGGAATAGCAAGTTATTGTTGTCCAGTGTAGTTTGAATGGTGTAACGTAGATCGTTTATCGTTTCTATTTGGAAACATTTTTCCGAGGCTAACAAACACAACTGTTTCGTTCATGTTCGGATTTGTTCACAGTGCCTACTTTTGGTATTTTTGGACATCACAGCGGCTTGTGACTCTATCAGTCGCCCTACCCTGTGAACTTATTTGCTAAGATACGGAGTACCAGAAAAGTCTGTTCAGCTTCTAAATGTACTGTACTGTCAAAATTTAGGAAAAACGAACTTTCACTGTTGTTTCTTGTAGGGTTGGGCAGGGTTGTCCCATCTCTCCGTTTTTCTTCAACCTCGTCATAGGTGATGTCCTGTAAAACTAGTAACTAAACGTAACAAAAACTGGCATCGAGCTTCCCCGTCGGTGACAACGCTTCGGTGATTCAAAATACGTTGAATCGCTTGGCAATTGAGGTTGCTCGTTATGGTAACTCCCTTAAACCCATAAAGTACAAAGTGTTTCTGCAATATTGTCATGCATCTGTTGCTTAGCAGATTATGATACTGTGGAAGTAATTGCATAGCTGCTAGTGGACGTGTAAGTGAGAACGTGCAATCAAAACAACATTGGTTTGTTGATTTGCGACACATCTCTCTCGTCGAAATGGTGTGCTTATTGTGCAACGGTGCATTCCGTGTCGCTTTATGGCTGAGAAACTTGGTCTGACCAATCAGATCATGTCTAACGACTGGCCGTCTTCGACAACCGTGGTTCGCGCTACATCACCCGCGCATGGTGGGAGCATTTCGTCAGTATCGATGAGGTTAGACAATATGTGTTGAGATCAGATAGTATTTCATTGAGCGAAACCACTTGACTGCACTGTCGCACGTGATTACGTGCACATCTTAAAAATGCCTGGACAAGATTCATCCTATCGTGCATTATTTGTAGATGTTGGGTCTAACTGGATGAAGTAGCGAGGTGGGCAAACCAAGACGCAGAGGCGTAGTGGGTTAAAAAAATTGTATTCGGATCTGGTTTCCGTCGGGGCTTCTCGGCTCCAAAGGTTTTGATTGTCGTTGATTGTAACACTGCGGATTATGACATTGAGACGAAGTTAGTGACGTGAATGCACCGTTACTTGTTTGCAATCCCGAAAGTTGAAAAATCAAAAAGGTGGAAATTGCGTACAGTATCCTCTACCCAAAACTGGCTGTGTTTGTGTTAGTTTTTTTCTTCTGCTTCTGTATGTCTTTCAAATCATGGTTATTTTGGTGCCGTATCTGCATGGATAGATGTTATTGCATCACATACAAATACACTCCTCGTGTGGGGAATGAACAAACTCCCAAGGCGTGAAACCCACGCACACAATTCACAAATACATCAAAGACATACACGGAGTCTAGTGCGAATAGGCTCACGCAATCTCATCTTGTCAGATTGATGAAATTTCTCTTTAGGTCCCAAATCAAGAAGCATAACATCCGACCAAACCCAAGACTTACATGCCATGTAGGTAATCACCCGTTTGAAGTTTGAAGCTCATTTTGTGTCGTTTCCCCGTTGAACAAAAAAGCGGTCCGTTCACACCAGGTTGATTTTGTTTGTGACCGTCATCTCGTCTGATTCAATCGTCGGTCGACGCGCAACGGGATCTTACTACTATTACGGAAGCACTGGAACCCATCAAACTGGTTACATCTGAATAAATGGGGATCATAGGAGCACCCCGAAACACGCACCGCAATTTGGCAAACTTACTTTTATTCTTACGGTATCATCTTCTGTCCATTTGTTATCTACCAGCTGCACATATACTTGGTGTGCCATTTTTTGCTCTCCAAATTATCAGTTCAGCTTTGAATCTTTTCGATGCACTGAATTTAGCTCATGAACCAATCGGTTTTCTCACTTATCCTAAACAGGTACACACTGGCATTGCTAGGACTGTGATGCACATCCCAAGCACACATTTAGCGATCAATTCTGCACTACTCATAAGTAATAATGTTAGCAAGACAAACATTTGAAGTTGACTTACTCGTTCTGCTGTTATCCTTGCTACGTTCAACACATGAATGGGATAATACACGTAACTGCGTACAGGTTCTAATCTTTTGTCGAACTGTGTTGGACTGAAATTGTTGTATTACTTTTCATTGGTTTTAAGCACAGCTCTCGTATTCCTCCAGGTGTGAAAACATTTAACTTAGCATGTGGTTGTTCCCTCCAATTTCCTCCAAAGCTGTTTGATTTACGGGCTTTGGATACCGGACCGTTGGCTGTATTCACTGGTCATGTGGATGGCATCACCTATCTGGATTCCAAGGTGAGCACGATGCACCCAACTGATGACGAGTGCCTCAATTTGGCCTGTAAGGTCCCAGGTTTGATCCCCAGTTGGATCGATGGATTAGCACTGCTGGTGACACCCAACCAACAGTGCTTCCTAGCTTTTCAGTTCGAGTTTCATTTTCTATATACACGACGAATTCACGTTTGAAACACTTAGGTTACCATTCTCANCCATTCTCACCTTCATGTTCTACTCATCTGATCCCCTTTGTCTATTATCCGTTTTTGTTTGATCTTACTTTTAGGGAACAGGTGAGAAGTGGTTGTTTTAGTAATCGTTTCACATTCGTCCCATTTCGGATGATCTCAGCGCGGTGTGATATAATCGCAAAAGAGACAAAGGTTAGCGTTGGTTTACGGTTTCCGCACACATGACCCTTATATTTAGGCCCTCGGAAGACCTGCATTCTGTCGATTGCGTCCCCTGGTCCCCACTAGGAGAGCGACCGCCGATTCACTTTTAACTACAAATAAGAAAC